CTTTTGATGGCTGCATAATATTCCATTGTATATATATACCACTTCTTCTTTATCCATTCATCTGTGGATGGGCATCTTGGCTCTTTCCACAGTTTGGCTATTGTGGACAGTGCTGCTATAAACATCGGGGTGCACATACCCCTTAGGATCCCTACATTTGTATCTTTGGGGTAAATACCAGGTAGTGCAATTGCTGGATTGTATGGTAGCTCTATTTTCAACTTTTTGAGGAACCTCCATACTGTTTTCCAGACTGGCTGCACCAGCTTGCTTTCCCACCAACAGTGGAGGAGGGTTCCCCTTTCTCCGCATCCCCGCCAACATCTGTCATTTCCTGACTTGTTAATTTTAGCCATTCTGACTGGTGTGAGGTGGTATCTCATTGAGGTTTTGATTTGGATTTCCCTGATGCCGAGCGATGTTGAGCACTTTTTCATGTGTCTGTTGGCCATTTGGATGTCTTCTTTGGAAAAATGTCTGTTCATGTCTTTTGCCCATTTCTTGATTGGATTCTTTGTACTTTGGGTGTTGAGTTTGATAAGTTCTTTATAGATTTTGGATACTAGCCCTTTATCTGATATGTCATTTGCAAATATCTTCTCCCATTCTGTCGGTTGTCTTTTGGTTTTGTTGACTGTTTCTTTTGCTGTGCAAAAGCTTTTTATCTTGATGAAGTCCCAATAGTTCATTTTTGCCCTTGCTTCCCTTGCCTTTGGCGATGTTTCTAGGAAGAAGTTGCTGCGGCTGAGGTCGAAGAGGTTGCTGCCTGTGTTCTCCTTTAGGATTTTGACAGACTCCTTTCTCACATTGAGGTCTTTCAACCATTTGGAGTCTATTTTTGTGTGTGGTGTAAGGAAATGGTCCAGTTTCATTCTTCTGCATGTGGCTATCCAATTTTCCCAACACCATTTGTTGAAGAGACTGTCTTTTTTCCATTGGACATTCTTTCCTGCTTTGTCAAAGATTAGTTGACCATAGAATTGAGGGTCCATTTCTGGGCTCTCTATTCTGTTCCATTGATCTATGTGTCTGTTTTTGTGCCAGTACCATACTGTCTCGATGATGACAGCTTTGTAATAGAGCTGGAAGTCTGGAATTGTGATGCCGCCAGCTTTGCTTTTCTTTTTCAACATTCCTCTGGCTATTCGGGGAAAGCTATTTAACATCTTTTAGCATAATTTTCTGTATTTGCAAAATATATAATTATTTATATCTACCTCATGTGACTATTGTAGGTGTAGAGTAACACAGATATTATATGTAATATATTTATCAAAGTTCACGGCACCTAGCAGTCTAAACATTAGATATTATTGTTATCATTATTCTTATTCTGGAGCATTCATTCCAGGTATTCTTTTCCACTTTTGTTAGGTTGTTAAAATTTTATAGCATCTTTCCATATTTTGAGAGCTGAAACTAAGTCAGGTTTTACTCTAAGACACAAACTCACTATTGCTATTGGGTCCTTTCCTGGTCATTTGATAATAAAATAATATTTATATCTAATAACTCTAAGCATGTCAGAAAACAGATAGGTAGATGCCAGTGTGTCTATCTCTACTTTCTATCACTAGACTCCAGCATCTGTCTTAAGCAAGGACCAAGAACTTGTACATCTTACTATCTACAGCTACTTGAAAATAAGAAAGGGAGGGAGAAAGATAGGGAAGAGAAACCAAAGAATTACCTCATAGTATTTCCAAATTTTTTCAGTCTGAATTCTAGAATACATTTTAAAGTGGTGCATGGAAATTATATATATTTACATCATACACATAAGTATATATATATTTTCCCATATAATCAAAATGTCAAAAAACTGTCCAAATTCCTCATTAAACTATAACATGTACAATATTTCTTTGAGTGAATGTGCCAATTGATCTTTTTAAAAAAGTGTGTCAAGACAGAGATACTACTTTGTTATACACTTTGTGTAAGTACATTTCATTTGTTCAACATAAAGTTACTGATCACCTACTGTGGGATGAGCAATACTCTAGATGTTGGAAATGTGCAGACAAATAAAATATGATCTATGCTTTACTAGAGATTACAGATTAGTAAAGTAGAATGGCCAGTAGGTAGAAAAATTGTGATATAACATGGCAAGCACGTGATTCAATGGAGTTATTAAGTTAGCGTGGATCTGGAGAATGAGATAACTAACACAATGGGAAACTGAATGGCTGTCCTAACACTAGCTTTTAGTCTGGTTATTTTTGCCAGAACAAAATGCATTTATTTATAAACTTAAAAAAATTAATCTTAATTTTGCTCTCTCACAGCTTAGTCTTTGAAGACCCGTCAGTAATACTCTTCCTGCCTTCCTTGTTCAAGTGCCCATATTTTCTTTTCTAACTCAACTCTAACTTTTGCCTCTATCATTTCTCTCCTTACAAAAGTGGATGTTAAGGGCATAGCCAAGGGTGAAGGCAGGAGTGGGGGCACGATAAAATTGGTGTGGTACAAGCAGATAGGTCTTTTGGTGCAATGACAGAAACTCAATTCACACTTGCTCAGGCAAGAAAGGTGATGTATCATCCCTCACAACCAAACTGTAATGTTGAGGAATATGCATCCTCCGCTAGGCAGCGAGGGGATTCGAATACTGACAGGATCCTCTCACCATTTCACATGCCTACTATTTTCACACCCACTTCTTTCTTCCAGACAAACTTCATATTGTGGAAACAAGGGCTCCTGGTAGCTTCCAGGCTATAATGAGGCCCTTTTGTTAGCTTCCACTTGAAAAACTTCAGAAAATTTTGATTAGATAGATGTGATGTGAACAACAAACAAGGAACAATGCCACCACAAGACTGGGGCTCTTGATCAACTACCCAGTGGTGGAAAAGGAAGAAAGAACACATTTGAGAAGAAGGGGAATGAATGGAAGGTCAAACAGAAGCAGTCACACATACATGCTGGCTTTCAAGAAATGTTTACTGAGTTCTTACTATGGGCCAAGCATGAGACTTTGTGCCATAGTCTAATGGGCAAGAGTAGTATTATTCAAATAATCTATAAATAAGACTTCTCAATGGAGGACAGGGGCAACTGTCCTGTTTCAGGTGAGTTCCACTTTTCAGCATCTCCCCGAACCTGACTACAGCCAGCTTCACCAGGCTGGGGTTGGTCAGGAAAACAGACCCACTAGTATAACTCTTCCAAGAATAAAATGTTTCACTTAGAAATTAGGTTTTATATGGATGTTGGAAGACCTGGAAAGGGAAGATTAGAGAGTTGCCCTGGAAAATCAAGGGCACCAAAGCTGGAGTCAGGGAAGTTGGCCTGGAGAGTCAGGAAAGACCTCTGCCATCTGAAGCTCTGATATGGGTAGTTCTCATGTGCTCACTAAAAAGCTGCTGTGATTCTCATGCCTGCCTACAAGTCTGGCTATCACCACATCCAGACAATAATATATTTAACTTCTCTTCTGCTGTCCTAACCTCATGCAACTTCCTCTCAAAGGGAAAAGGGAAATCTTACCCAGAATGAAATAAGGAAGGGGAGTTTGGGGAATGCAACTTCCCAGACCTTGGAAAGGTGTGGTTATGATGCTGAGTTGGCAGCAGACAATTCATCCCAGCATCCTTACCCTGATGCAGATGTTACCATGTTGGCCAACACTTACTGATGACTAGCTCAGCATTTCATGTTTTCTCATTGAAGCCTTACAACAACCCTAGTGGTGGTTTGGGATAGAGAGAACAGCAGGGAGAGAGAGCTTTAGCTTCCACCTTTTACAGATAAGAAAACTAAAGCTAAGAGAAGGAACTGACCCATAGTTCCACAGCTGAAGTAACAGTGGGGCTGTAGTTCAAATCCAAATCTCTGGCAAAGGAAACTGATTTCTGAACTGCACACAACACTGTCTCTCTAATCTATTCCTTATTTGATAAAATTGTTGCTTATGGCTCAGGGAGCCAAGGCAATTTGTTCTCCCATGCAGTTTCACTGAAGATGGCACTTCTAATTTCAATGACTCTTGTAAAAGAGCCATTTGGGGAGATATGTCTAGATGTATAAGGTTTAAAGTCCTAAAAGATAGATGGACCCCCAAAGGAAATTTCAGCAACCATTAGGAAAGCTAAATAGAATGTATACACCATGGATGGATTGGATTCTTTGTCCAAAATTATTTAAGGCAAAAAAAAAGTATTTGGAAATTTTATCAATAGTATTAATGTTTTAAAAACTGGGAAATAATAATTCTGCTGGGCAATTTAAAAAAAAATTTATACTCTTGTGAGTTGTAAAATAATATGAAAGTATGTTGAAATGAAGAAAGGTGCCATTGCAATGAAAATGAAAGGTTGTTATAATGGAATATGAGACAAAGAGAGCTTGTCAGGGAAAAAAAAAAATGTACCAGTGGTTATCAGAACAATTTTAGAAAGGAACAGAGTAAAAGAGGAGCAAAAGAGAGTAACAGAAGCAAGTGTGAGAGGGAGACTGTGTATGGAAGATTCAAGTAACACATCTTGTCCTCAAAAGGAAGTAATCTGTAAAGCAACAGTGTTCAAAGGCCTTAATGAAGAAGCCTTCAATCCCACTCTAGTCCTTCCGTATGATCTCATACTCCTCAAAAAATTCTGCTTGCTAACTTGGCTTCTAAATGGTTTGATATTAGCAGTGGGGTATCTTGTATAGTAGCAATGATCTTTTTGATTATTGGAAAGATGTGTTCCAAGATAAATACATATATCTGAAAATTGCCTTATAAATGTATTTCTGGTGCATATATAATCAGACTCATAACTTTCTCAAGATCTCAACGTAGAATTGATATCCTGAAATCCTGGACACAAAAAGCTGAGAGCCAAATACTCGGCCACTATGAAGACTCCATCAATACTCAGAAACCTCACGGATGTCATCATGATATGGCCTGCAGCCTTAGCTTCCTGTATCCACAAGAGAAAAATGCAGGGTATATTTTGGTCCAGATGCAGATGAGAAAATTATGTCAAATACATACCACTGAGAGTTAGTGTCCTGTAATTCTGAATTCTCAGCTTATATGAGGAAGGTGTTACAGGAATATCTCCATTTGGTATCTGTGATGATTTAAAAACCTGTTAAAAGAAAGTCAGCAAAACTATCCTCTACCTGAAGGATAACAGTTTTAACTAGTAATAGGTCCCCCATTTTAGGGGAATGGAATCAAGAAATGAAATTATTATTATTTTTCTATATTCATGAGGCACAAGCAACAAATTATCTATGATAAAATGGTATTCTTTAATCTTTTTGGTCAAACTGACTGGTATTTGCATATCCTAACAATAAGCATCACCAAATGTGAGGTAATGAAACATAGTAATCTGCTAATTCCCAATTCTTTCACTCCAAATTTTGAGAAGAAAACAGAATGTCACTGTGAGAAACAAACAGGCTACCTTTAGTAGTTTATAGCCACTCAACTGAACTACAAAGAGTTCTCAAAGGAAATTATGTCTGGCTATTCCTAGATAATTTCTCCAAAGTCTTTAAGGTTCTTTTTATTCAACTGGCAAAAGCTATCTCATGCCAACCTGTCATCATTCTATCATGTTCCACCACTGAAATTCAAAAACTTGCTGAGATGGCTTAGAAGAAAACACAAAATTGTAAAATTTTCAGTAAATAAGCCCCCTAAACAGCAGTCAGACAGCACACTGTAAAACTCAATGCATCCCCAAGAGTCTTTTGCTACCTACTCTTAGGTTGGCTGCTACATTGTAGCTGGGAAAATGCAAAATATAATAAGTGGAAAGAGCCAGGTGGCATGGGGATTTGGTAAAGCCACTTCTCATTTCTGGAAGTCTGTGTGAAAAATAATGCCGAAACCAAAATCCAAAAGTGTTGGGTGGAGTGAGCCCAGTCTCTGGATATTTGGCTGTACATATTCAAAAGCCCCAAGCCTTCTGGCCAAATACAGTGTGATTGGCAGCTCATGGAGATGGCTGGGATGGAAATAGCAGGCATGTGGATCAGAGTTGAGGTGAGTGAACAAATGTATGGATCCCTGGAAAAAGAGTGCGGAGAGAGAGAAACAATATTTTGGCATTCAGGAAAGTTTCTGGATTCAGCACATCATGTTGAATAAAAGATAATATGTACTTGGCAATAGATATGAAACTTAATGACTCATTAGTTGAGATAAATCTGATTCCTTTTGAAAGAAATTCTATCTCAGGTTGCAGACTGAGTATGTCAAGAAGCAATTTATTTTATTTATAATCAGAATGGGGATGAATCTGAATAGTAGCAAAAAGGAAAATGGAGAAATAATGAATAAAAAGTTTCAAAATAGTGGAAAAGTACTTAGGCAGGGGTGATAAACTGCAGAAGTGTGAGCATTCAGTTTGTAAACATGTTATACATGGCCCTGTTGAGTTGATTTTTATTTTATCTTGGTGTTCTCACCAGTAAATCTTCCACCAGTCAATTCTAAAATGAAAAGAAAAATACACACAAACACACATCCTCATTGCCATAAAAATTCAGACTTTAACAAAGGTATGCCAATATGTAGTAGAGTCTTACTGAATCAGCAGCACCTGATTGCCAAGTTTTAGGCACTTTTGTTTGTTCTGTAATCTGAAGTGCATGGTTTACACATCCATGCTGAAATATCTCTGAAATGAGGAAGTTATAATGGAGAAAGGCCTAAGGTGGTATAAACTTGGGTCCGAGAAGACATATGAACATGTTACAGAAAAGGAAGGAAAGAAGGAAGGAGGGAAAGAGAAAGAAGGAAGGAAGGAAGGAAAGGAGGGAATGAGGGAGGAAGGAAAGAGGGAAAAAAAAGAAGGAGAGGAAGGGAGGAAGGAAGAAAGTTGGCCGATGTTACTAATAATAATATATAAAAATATATACTTAGGGAATCCAATGTGTTATGATCCAGATAATTATGAGTTAGAATAATAGACTAGTAATAAATAAAGATTCCCCAAGGTATATGTGCTACACAAAGTGGGAAAATGATAGGGATATGCTCTGAAGAATGATATAGAGATAAAGACAATTTGTGTTGTAATGAGGTACCAGAGAAAGTTTCTATAAAGGCAGTGTTCTGGTCAGTGGACACAGAGGACTGCTTTGATAATGATAATCAAGTTTATATGTAACAATATATAGAGAACTGTACTCTATATAAACCAAATAAGAATGAACATATTTATAAATTCTGTATGAATTATTTTGAAAAGAACTGTTCGACTGTATGTTTGTTTCTCATCATATAAGAAAGATGACATTCAAACATAGAACACGTTCTCATAGGCTTACCTGAGTTACATACAGTTCTCGGAAGGCTGGTGAGCTCTTGTTTTTTCTCTTCTATGCAACAAGCTAGACTGGAAAGCAATGGATAGAGAGTATTATTTTCTAGGGATGGCCTTATATGCTTTTCTTTTTTAAAGGAGATCATCTGCAAATTTCAGTTCTTAATTTTCAGTATAACGTTGCTTGGGCATGTATTACAACATACCAGTGTGTATCTTAGAACCACTACCAGTAAAGTAAAGAACTTTTAAAAAACAAGAGATAAAAAGGCCAAAATCAATTAGAAAAATGTGCAAAGTTTATGAATTGACAATTCATAGGGAAAGATATACTAATGGCCCTTAAACATACAAAAAGATGCTCATATTTAATTTTTGTCCACAAATTCCAATTTTAATAATTTAACCTGAAGATACATCCCCCAAATAAAAAAAACATATATGCTCAAGGGTTTTCATTACAGGATTATTTACAATATCAAAATATTAGAAATGACCTAAATGCCCATAGATAGGACAGTGGTTGAATAAACAATGGTACTTTCATACAATGAAAGACTACCAAGCTATAAAGAGTGAATATCTCTATCAACTGATATTGAGGGATTGCAAGGATATCATTACATTAGATTAAAAAAAAAATCAAGGGACAAAAATTTTCTATTACACTCTACCTTTTATGTGAGAAAAAAAGGCCATAAGTATGCATACATATTTCCTTATTTCTTTCTATCTACACTTGCGCTTGAAAACAAAACACTACCACCAACAACAAAACCTCTATTGACATTTTTGACATTCGGATGGAATGTTTGTGTCCCTCCAAAATTTGTACATTAAATCCTACCCCCCAGTGTGATGATATTAAGAGGGAGAGATGTCACATAAAGTATTTGCATATCTGTGAAATAGCAGATAGTGAATTTAAGAACACATTCATCAACTATTCCTTACTAATTACCAACTATTGCTCAATATTTATGCTGATCACTAGGCATTCTTCCACCTCCCCAAATTCCAAAATGTTTAACACAAGCTCTTCATTTCCATTTTTTTAAAAAGTATTTTTCATTTCCTCATTATTTTTTTTTCTTCTCTTCACTCCCTTTCTGAATGTCTATAATTTCATTCACCAGGATCATTTCTGACTGCTCATTGTAAACTTTGTTCACTATGGACTTATTTCAAACCCTAAATTCTTTGAGTAATTTAAAGATTCCCTTTAAAATTTTTAGACATGGATTGTCTGTAGTTTTTGTAATAATAGCACAAGTTACTTGGGAATTCCCATATGTATCCAATGTGCAGTGGACACCATGCTAAAGTTATTTTAAGTTCCTTTATTTAAAATTGAAAAAAAAGTAGAAGAGAATTAATCCTAAAAAGCAGCAATCATATTTCCATAAACATCAAAGTGTGGGTATTCTTTCTCAACATTTTTTCTGGTATTTTTCTTTATTTATCTAGAGCCCAGCTCCCTAGACAGCTTCACTGGAGACTCAACTAATGTGGGGCTGGGAATGCAGGCCTGCAAAGAGACCATCATGTTTCAGTATCATACAAACAGTATAATGTAAAATAATCTAAACCAACAGATAGTTTTGAATAGTATGAATTTCAGGTCTATTTACATAGAAGACAATCATTCAAGGAGACCTAACATTATCCATAAACAAATATACTTATCCATATAAACATAATCAAACAATGCTGTTGATTATCCTCATGGAAAACACCAAAGGGCTTACTGCAATTCTTTTTTTTTTTTTAAGATTTTATTTATTTATTTGACAGAGACAGACACAGTGAGAGAGGGAACACAAGCAGTGGGAGTGAGAGAGGGAGAAGCAGGCCTCCCGCGGGGCATGGAGCCCGATGTGGGGCTCGATCCCAGGACCCTGGGATCATGACCTGAGCTAAAGGCAGACGCTTAATGACTGAGCCACCCAGGTGCCCCACTGCAATTCTTTTAAACTCTTTCCCAGTTCCAACTGATCTCTAAAATAGTCAGGTCTCCTTATAGATCCGGGGGGTTGATATGAAATTGTATGGACACCTAAGTATTCAAGTATGTACTTTCTAATTTGGGGATATTTAGTATTCCTCCTTTGTATGGACTAAATATTTGTGTCCTGCCTCCCAAATTCACACGTTGAAGCTCTAACCCCTCCCCCCGCCCGATGTGATGGTATTTGAAGATGGGGTCTTTGGGAGGTAATTGGGGTTAGAGGAGGTCATAAGGATGGGGCCCTCATCATGGGATTAGTGTCCTTCTAAGAAAAATAAGAAATCCTTTCCACCCCCCAACTCTGACATGTGAGGACACAGTGAGAAGGCAGCCATCTGCAAGCCAGGAAGACAGTCTTCATCAGAAACCAAGCATTTTGGCATCCTGATCTTGGACTTATAGCCTGTAGCTTATCTTTTCATGATTTAAACAGGATCTTTGCAGAAGAAAGTTTTAATTTTTTTTTACGTCCAATTTATCAGTGTTTCTTTTTATGGATTGTACTTTTTTGTGTCAAGTCTAAGAATTCGTCAAGCCCCAGATCCACTCTAATTGTGGATTTGTCTCTTTCTCCTTTCAGTTCTGTAAGGTTTTTTTTCCTACTGTATTTTCTCTATTATCTAGTGCATACATATTTAAGACTGCTATGTCTTTGTGGATTGGTCCTTTTATAATTATACCATATCCCTCTCTGTCTCTGGTCATTTTCTTTGTCCTGAAGTCTTATATTAGTATAGCCACTCCTGCTTTCCTTTGATTAATATTTACATGATATATCTTTTTCCATCCCTTTACTTTCTACCTACCTTTTCAATTCTATTTGAAGTAATTTTATTGTCAACAGCATATAGTTGGGTCATGTTTTTTAATCCAATCTGCCAAATCTCCATTTTTTAATTGGCATATTTAGATTTTTTACATTTAGTGTTGTTATTGATGTATATAGGGCTTTAGTCTGCCATTTTGTTTTTGTTTGCTCCTTCTGTTTTTCATTTCTCTGTTTTATTTTTCATGCCATCCTGTGGGGGTTACTTGAACATTTTTTAGAATTCTATTTTGATATATCTATAGTATTTTGAGTATACCTCTTTGTATAGATTTCTTAGTGGTTGCTCTAAGTATTACATTACACACACACCACAGTTTATGGTTGTCCTCATTTTACCAGTTCAAGTGAGGTACAGAAACCTTAGCTTCCCTTACTTCTTATTACTCTCACCCATTTATAACATAATTATCTTAAATATTTCCTGTATATATATTTAGAACCACATTTGACAGTTTTATAATTTTTGCTTCAACCATCAAATATAATTTTAAAAAATCAAAAGGAGAATAAAAGCCAATTATATTTACTCATGTTTTTGCTTATTATGTTCTTTGTTCCTGATATTTTTAAGTTCCTTCTCATATTGTTTTCCTTCCTGTTTAGAGAAATTCCTTTAGCCATTCTTTTAGGGTAGGTCTCCTGGGACAAGTTCCCTTAGTTTGTCTCACTAAGAGTAAATCTCTCTTAGTAAGAGATATTCACTAGCTGTAAGATTGAGTTGGCAATTTTTTCCTATAACACCTGAGAAATAAATACTGTGCCACATTCTTCTTATTTCCATGCATTCTTAAAAGAAGTCTGTCATTCTAATTGTTTTTCTTCTATATGTGAGGTGTCATATTTCTCTGACTGCTTCAAGATTTGTTTGTCCTTAATTTTCAGTAGTTTTAATTTTGATGTGCTATGACATTAATTTCTGTGGGGCTCATTCAGTATCCCAAATCTGCAGGTTTATATCTCTTACCAAATTTGAGAAGTTTTCAGCCATTATTTCTTTGAGTATTTTTCCAGCCTTGCCCTCTTTCTCCCCTCCTTCTAGAACTCCTATGACATTAATATTAGATCTTTTGTTATAATTTCTAAGGCCTCTGAAGCTCTGTTCATTTATGTTTAGTTTATTTAATCTCTGTTGTTCAAATTGAGTAATTTCAATTGTAGCTATCCTTTCCTTTGTCCCTTACTCTCTGCTGTTGAGCCTTTTAATTTTGGTTATTGTATTTTTCTGTCATAAAATTTACATTTGGTTCTTCTTTACAGCATCAGTTATTTGCTAATACCTTCTAATTTTTCATTTGCTTCAAGTATGTTTTTAGTTGCTCACTGAAGTATTTTTATGATGGCTCCTTTAAGATACTTGTCAAATAATTCTAACATTTTGGTCATCTTGATGTTGGTATCTTTTGATTATTTCTTTGCATCCTCCTGGTTCTTGGTATGATGAATTATTTTCTATTATAACCAGGACATTTTGGCATTATCTTCTGAGACTCTGGATCTTATTTAAATCTTCTGTTCTAGCTAGCTTTCTCTGACACTGTTCTGGCAGGGAAGGGGGGCAGTTCATCATTACTGTTAGGTGGTGGTTAAAGTCCAATTTCTCAGCTGTCCTCCATTAACACAAGAAAGAAAACTCCTCACTACTGCTGGGTGGGCTTAGCTATTGTGAAAGTCCCAACTTTCCACCAGGGGTCCTCTGACACCACCCAGGAAACAGGGGAAGGGATGGATGTCTTATTACCCCTGGTGGGAATGTAAGTCCAGGCTTCCTAGTTGGTCTCTACTGACATCTGAGGGTTAGAATGAGGGCTTATTAGTGGCCTGCAGGGATGAAAGTCCCAGCTCTCTACTTGGCTTTCCCTGACATCACCAGTTGGGGGGTGTTGAGGTGCCTCATTACAACCTCATGAAGGTGAATTTTAGCCTCCTTGCTCAGCTTTTACAGGTGAGGGTTGAGATGACACTGCAGGGTTTTATGTGGTATTTGGCTTCAGTAGAGTGATTATAATCTAAATGCTTTCTCTATGATCATATAGTTTCAATGTTTAAAGGATCTCTAAAAACTATATAGTCCACTCCTTTAATTTTACATAAGAGGCCCAGAGGAAAAAAATATATTGCCTATGATCATATTATCTAGTTAGTATCAGATACTGAATTAAAACATATCTTTGGAATCCCACTTCAAGGATCTTTCTCCTCTCCGAGGCACTTTATATGGCCACAGTTAATTCAGGGGATAAAAGAGTACCATTGTAAATATTTAAAAATTATTTCTATTTTTTAGATAACTATGTATTTGTAAATTTAATGGTTGAAACATAAATGTTTCATTTTATCAATGTAAATATGATGTTACATTAAAATCCCAGTTTCTTGAGCTATAATTTCAATAAAAATTGGTGTAGTCACATGACCTTAGATATTTCTTTTCTTTTCTCTCTACAGATTTCCCCAACACAGCCTTGACATTTGCTTCTAAAATACTTCACTCTTTGAAGTTCAATAGGATAGATGCTATTATAAGTAATGTTATCTTTTCAAAGCTTTGCCTTAAAATTGGCTCATTTTTTATAGTTTTCAGTGGCGTATGTCATAAGAGAAGAATATGAGGTATATTTAGAATTTATGGTGTGCCCCCTGGGAGGGGTCTTTGCCTTAGAAAGAAACATTTATTTAGTCCTGGATAAGAGGAACATGATTGAGGTGTTACCTTTAACACTAGGATTAGAGAATTGGTAACTATCCAAAATGGATAAAAAGGCTAAGTCTACCAAATTCTAAAACACTTTTTATAGTAAGGTCTCCTCACTTAAAAGTGTCTCTTCAGTCTATGCCTACTTTTCAGTGTTGGGAATTAGAGAGAATGTGAATTTATCTTATTGATAGTAATTAATGAGAATTCTGTCTATGTTTTCAAGAGTGACTCACGAAATCCAATCAGAAACATGAAATAAAAAATAATATTTAGCTATAGAAAAGAAATTAACAACACAAATATTTTAAGATTTAACCATTTACTTTCTTGTAAATAATGTGCTGTTATTATTAAAAACCCAGACTGTGGGCATGATAGAAAGTGTGGGGTGAGTAGAAGCAATAAACTACGACATTGTATACAAGACAAAATAGTACATTAGATGTGTAATAGTAGGAAAATATGAAGTATCATAGGAATAGAGTATGAAATAGAAATAATGTTTTATAGGGGCTTATGAACTATAACAACTAGAGCAATACATTCATTTGTATGAATCATCATTACATAATATTTCTGTGTATACGTAATAATTTTAGCCTTCTATTATTTAAGGCTTTACAACATTTAGGTGATTTACAATTCTCATTTTAATATAAAAATCTGTAATTTAACACAAGTATAATAATTACATAATAATGTAACAATCTATTGTATTATTAATATAATAATTTACTGAGTACTTACAATGAACTAGTCACTGGACCAAGTACTAAAAATTGTTAAAAACTAATCACATCTTTTTGATGTTTATAGATTCATGACATGACATAGATTTGCAAATGTGCAAAATTATAATCAAGATCAAGTGATATTTGTTGTAAGAGCAATATAGATCATTCTAGTACAGAAGATGAAGGATAACAAAACACTAACTTCCTTTGAACTTCTAATTTCAAGCACAAGGCAACATGTAAAAATACTCCACAGTTAGAAAAACCCAGGAATCTTGTTTCTACATTTAAATTCTAACATGGAAGAGAGGATGATTTTCCTAAATTTGCACATAAGAAAGAAATACAGGCACACAGAGCCGGAAAAAAAGTTACTTAATGTTAATCTACTTTGATAAAGATTTATATTCCTCTATGAAACCAGATGGTAAAGATTATATATTTTGATATAAAATGGGTAAATATGCCATGATGGAAAGAAAGGATTATGGAGAGAACTTTGATCTATGGAGGTGCTAGAACCAATTAAAGATATGAAAGAAGTAAGTATCACCAGTCCCAGATGGAGTTCCTGTGAATTGGACTAAGTGTTCCAAGACTGTTTGACAAGTCCTCTAGCAGATGTTTTTAATCTTGGATGGAGAGCCCAAGCATTACCTGGATGCATGAGAAAGGCTACTTTGGGAGTGATGGCAGGCAAGGAATCAGGATCTTGACTCTGGCTCTTCATTTGGATTGGTCTTCCGGGCACCAGTGTCTATCAGCCAAAATCCACTCTGGTGATTATCTCAGTAGGATGCATAAGAAATGATGTGGGTCATCTGAGATCATCTGAAGGATATAATAAGGAAATTAAACATGGTTATATATTCCCTAAAAGTATCCAACAGTGAAGTTTCACACTAGAACAAGCAAATTAAAAGAAATGTAGATTTAAAAAAAAAGAAAGAAAAAAAAGAAATGTAGATTAGTTGTTTTTGATAGGGGTAGACTTACAGCCAGTATGTCACCCATCTAAATGGCAGAACAGAGGACATCTCCTCTTGACCTAAATATTTTGGACATCTTAGAATTTAATTTGGGTGTACTACTGGAAAATTACTATCAGAAAAAAAAATCTTGGCAGGACACAAAATGGTGAGTTGTCTATTATTGCAGTCTAGAGTTTAGATGCAACCTAAAAGCTCAAGAAAAAGATGATTTTAGGTTCAATGATGTCTGCTTATTAGACAACAAACGACAAATAAATAGTCATTTACTTTCATCCTATTGGGTAATTTGAAAATAAGTATATTTCCAAAGATAGGGAAAATGATCAGCAGATTTTCATTCACACTTCTAAAGTTTTTTGTTAGCATCTTCCAAATCTCACTTGGCAAAAGTCAAATATATTCTCAGCTGAATGCAAATGTGCAAAAATCCAAAAAGAGTTATTTGCCAAGAATCTCTTTCTCCCTCCTTCCTTCCCCCACTCCCTGTCTCTCTCCTACTCTCTCACTCTCTCATTCTTACTCTCTTTTTTGTTCCAGACACTTCCATTTGGAGTCCTAGAGAAATAAATATTTCAGAGAGGAATTCCATGCTTTCTTTGGAGGAAAAATTCCCCAAGAGTTCAATAATGCTCTATAGAAACAGTTAGTGGTGGGAGGCCTTCCCTGCTAAATTTAAAACAATATTATCAGGCATGCCAATTAAAATCCTTGTGGGATTGGGTGTGGTGGTAGAAGCAACTTCAGGTCACTTCAGAACACAGAGAAAATGTTCAAAGCAAACCTCTAAATGAAATTGGGTCTCTTTTCCTCCCATCTTAATAGAAAGGATGGTACATTCTTATATCCACTTTATTGTTGATATAACCTTAAAGTTTTGGCAACATGTCCCAGAAAAACTGACCACATCCCCACCTTTTATTCTATGAAAGATGGGGAAATGCTGATCTGGATAAGTTTCTGAGGAGACAGAGAGAAGGTTCGTGAACCTTAGCATTATTACAGTTCTCAAAGCAAAGTTGTTCCAAGAACAAGTTTAGATAGAGGGAGAGCACAATTATTTTCCATTTTAGAATTCTGTTCTCTAAACTTTTGTATGACTGACCACCCAGTATAATAAAGTATTGTTATAGCATAAAATGGGTGGCATTCAAGTATTTATGAATCAATATAATTTAATAACATGTCTGGTAAAATAATTTGATACATAAAGAAAAAGAGAAAAACTATTGTATTTCCATAATTATAAGCAATCATTTATTTTTACATTTTAACATTTCCATAATTAGTATGCATTTTTTATAATTGATGCATACCTTTGTAGTGGACTTTTTAAAAGTAGACTTTTAAAGAAGGTGTTAGCAAATCAATGATGCCTTTTTATCTTATTTCAGATTTGAAAAAGTGCATTATTTGCTATAAAATGATATTGTCTAATTTTCTATGGATTTTATTACTCTGCTTCTCATATCTATAATATAAAAAGACTGTGAAAATCAAATGGTAGCTATTACATGATTAGATTTGGAAGACTCGCTCACACACACATACACACAATTATGAAGTAAGTACTATATCACCTTCTTCAAACATCAAAGAAAGCTACTACCCAACACTTCAGATTATAAAAGCAGGCCACAAGCCAGACTGTTAGTCCATTTGGATTGATAACAAAATACCATAGACTGGGTAGCTTAGAAACAAGAGAAATTGGTTTCTCAAACTTCTAGAGGCTAGAAAGTCCAAGATCAAGGCCCTAGCAGATTTGCTCTCTGGTGAGGGCCAGCTTCCTGGTTCACAGCTAGCTGCCTTGTCACTGTAACCTCACATGATGAAAAGGGCATAAGAGAGCTCTCTGGAGCCTCTTTTCTAAGGGCACTAATCCCATTCATGAGTTCTCTATCTTCTATCCTTATGCCCTAACCACTTCCCAAAGGCCCTACCTCTTAAAACTCTCACATTAGGTATCAGGATTTAACATATGAATTCTGGAGGGACATGAACACTCATACTACAGCAGCCAGTGAGAAGCCAAGTTAGCATTTTGGACAACAAATAGGCAAAGTCTAAAGAGGCAGACATCTTCAAACTATGCTGTGTTGTTTCATCCCAAGTATTTCTCTTCTACATTGATATAAAGGCAGTTGTAGAGAATATTTAAGGTAGGATGAAAGAGTCACATTTGCTAGGTGAATCCATGGTAAACAGTGGCTTGAAGTTGAGTTATATTCCTGTCTGGAATTTTCCCTCTACCCCATGCAATCCCACCACTGTCATACTGGAGTAACCGAGTCTATACTTAACAGATTCATTATTTCCCATCTGACCTAAGGTTTGCCTGGTACACTACCTAATATGGACTGAGTCTAACAAATATATACTTACATATTTGTAGATTTAAAGTCTTATGTTGGATTTTTATATACATGCGGAAAAATGGACAAATAAAGCATACTTATTTCTAAGGAGTATGAGATGAGATATTGGACTCTTGGACAGAAGTTCTGTGGGGTAAGGGGTAGACATGAAAATGTCCAAGTAGCCTTGGGAAATTATTCATTAAATCACTCTTCACTCTACAAAATCTAGTCAATATTTGTTGCTACTAAAAAGGAATTACAGTTCCTAAAAACATTAAACTCCTTCTTTTACTGCCTAAATTTGAGATAGATATTTCACACTGTGCTTAAATTGGGTAAGCCTCAAAAAGTTGGGCAAAATCTCCTTAATATACATATGAATTTGGATAAGACTTTAATACACTGGTAAGTATTTTAAGGAAGTGTGGAATAAACTACCCTTAAATATTTTTTTGGTAGAAAAATAATCCTATTGTTCAAACTACTGCCATTGGAAAATGAGAAACATCAAGAATACAACAGCTTGGAAACAGCTGAATTGCATCCCCAACCATCTTAAATGCCTGGAGAAACCAGGAAGTATTGCTCCAAAGTGAACAGCTTCACCAAGGATGCCAGCCAGCACTCTCCCTCTTAGATATGGGCTTTGGAATCAACTGTGAATAAAAAATCCTCAAGCTATAAGATCTCACTTAGGGCTGGGGAGGAAAGTGGTGGAAGAGAATAGTTTGGAAAAGATGGCTTTCATTTGGTGGTTCCTTTTAAAATTCGGTATTTCTTAATGAAATTATATGCAAATAAGTACAAAATACTCATGCACATACAGATAGAAATTTCAACTAAAAGACTCTTTATGAGTCTGTTCTCCATGGACTCACTGTAATCTTTATACATCTTAGACCACCTTTAAATATCTGCTTCCTTTCCCTACACTGCAAGCCCAGATTCAGGTAGAGTTTAGGCCTCTGGGCTTCTCCATGGAAGTGAAATTCCTCTGTCAGCCAAGTTCTGAGGCACTTGACAATGAAATAGTCCTGACTAAATATCAGCACTCTCATTCCCCTCAATTTGACTACAGATATTTGTTAGGTAATAACCAGCTCCCATTCATGTACCAAAGCTGGTTGTATGACTTCTACAAAGATAAAATCTTGAAAATATAAACAGTTCTTTAGAACCTGGCCTAGTCTCAAATGAGAAGTGTATCTGGCTGTTAATACATTTTCTAGCACCAGACAGAAAAGTCACATCAGTCCAGCCATGTCTGAATTATCTTGTCAGGATTTCACACAGACAGTGGAAACTTTTTGTACCTCATAAAATTGTAACCAGGCTGATAAATCTGTTTATTTTCCTCTAAGTGTGCCCTGGTTTTCATAATACAGACATTTTGTAAGTGTGCTAATGAATGGCAACACCCTCATCTGAATCTCAATCTTCATACTTTCTCTGCCAAGAAATTTGTTTTGTGAATTTTCAACTTTTGTTTTTCCACCACGAAAACTAACCATGAGACCTGGCTTGAAAGCAGTTTTAGCAATTTTTTTTTGTTTTCAAATGCACTTACTTTGATAGCTGAAAATGACCTCGAAGAATGATTAATACCTTGTGGGGGTCGATGACATAAATCTGCTCCAGTGGGCCTGATGCAAGTTCTCTCAGAAGGAATGTTACAGCTATATTGCTGTGGAAACCTGGTGACACTGAGCAGACCACACCAGATATAAAATCTTCAAAAAGCATAACTACTTAACCTGGACTTGAATTTATATGGACTTGACTTGTTACCAAAAAAATGCAGTGAACTCTTTTCCCTAGAAACTGCATAATGTGTTGCAATACTACCCAGAAGAAAAATCCCTCTCCTTTAACAGTTTCAAATGTGCTAACAAAAGAATGAGTTACTTTCTGATGATTTTAATTTCTTGGGTCCCTTAAGCCTGTTTTTCTCCTATCTAAGGGAAGAATGGTACAGTGAGGGCAAGAGGTGACAGGGTAAAGCGGGTATCAAAAATCTGTCAAGCATGTGACTACACAGGATACTGCAACAAAATAATATGTTTGGTTAAAATGTTTGTGAGGGCCATCTTTAACGTGGTTGACAGAATAATTTTACAGGAGTCTCGTATACATAAATCAACTAATAAAAAGTCAATTCAATGCTCCTACCTGACAAACTAAATAAATTATGAATTAAGAAACATTTGTGGTTTTGGTGACACAGGTTGCTTATCATAGTGGTTAAGAATGTGACCTCCAGGGGCGCCTGGGTGGCTCAGTCGTTAAGCGTCTGCTTTCAGCTCAGGTCATGATTCCAGGTCCTGGGATGGAGCCCTGCATTGGGCTCTCTGCTCCACAGGAAGCCTGCTTCTCCCTCTCCCACTCCCCCTGCTTGTGTTCCCTCTCTCTCTGTGTCTCTCTCTCTGTCAAATAAATAAATAAAGTCTTTAAAAAAAAAAAGAATGTGACCTCCAAAGCCAAGTCATGGGGA